ACAGTTGCTGATAAGTGCGACATTACAATAAAAGGAAAAGCATTTTTTCACCATTTCACTAATTGAGTTATGCTTTTAGGATTCTAAAATGACATTTAATCAAAAATTAATAATTATTTGGAAGCCTAGTACTTCATAAGGTCCCTCTATTCATCCCAAAGCCTACGCCATTGAACGCATATCAAACATACATACACATTTACATGAATACCATTCTGCAAACTTACACACTTCAATTGCCAATGTCCTCTCAGCCAGCTCCACTATGTCCTTTCTTGCAACCTATTCCTTTTAATGCAAAGCAGCCTGGCTACAACTGCTTTGAAATAGCGTTCGTTATTGTTGCTGTTGCAATCACTGTCTGTCATGGATGAGTATCTTGTGTTGCTATTACACAAATCCTTTGGCTAACTTTATGTCTTTGGCAGTTGAGCTGTTTGCTTGAGACAATGGCGCTAGCCACACATATTCTAAGCATTGCCTTGTAGGCAGTTTAAAACAACTATAATTTAATGTTTAATATAAACAGTAATCCACTATATATTTTACATACATATGTATGCATATATGTATATATTTATAGTTAAATCAGACTTGACGTTGTCAACCACGCAGATACATTTCGCCAACTTTAGCAATTAATATGTTATGCATGCCACGCAGAGTATGGAAGTATCTATGTTAGTATGTATGTATGTATTTTTTCATGTACATAGGTATGTGTGTCTGTCTTACGCCTAAGAATTAAACAGTAGCAGTTGCAGATACTCAGCAGACATGTTGGCACATACAAGCTTTAAATCAAATAGCTGCTTGTGTGTTTATAACTAAGGTCCGCAAATGTGCCTATATATGTATATACCTGTGTGTACGTGTATGTACCGGTAAGTGTAAATATGGACCAGAGTCGAATAACTATCGCAAAATCTTGCGCCTTCACATGGCTATTATTTGCTCACGTGCTACAGCGAAGCTGCTTCCTTCCAAGCGAAGACATTGGTAGCTGAATTTATAAGTATTTACACATATATACACGTCATACATACATATATACATTTACATTATAACCAATATATGTACATATAAACATATATAAATCACACCATTGCTACTGTCATTGCTGTCACCGCCGCCATTGTCAATGTCATTTCCGTTACACCAAACTCTACACCCGCCCAGCGCATACACACACTACCATACATATACGCCGCAACTGCACTGCTACTCGACACATTCTCATATCTCTGTTATTCGATTTGATTGCTTGAATTTTGAGCTTTAAAGTATTTTCGAGGTGATTTAATGCTGCTCAAGGCAATTCATTGTACCACTAGTTAAGCCGTTCGGATTATGTTGATTTCTGATATTTATCGGCTCTAAAGTATTTCGTACATGCGTCTTATTGAGCAAATGTGTATGCTTGCATAAGTACAGCAACATTCATAATCCTCTATGCAGTAAATATTTGTAGTCTCTAAGTAGTTTTGTATGATCGCAAAGCCTTTGAATTGCTTTGCTTAGGTGTGGCACCTAAGCAACTCTAATGCAAATTTGTGCCGAACAAGTTTCGGCTTCATAAAATAGCGATTAGGTGTTATTTACTTATCTCGTACGGATAAATTTCAGTAGCCAGCAAAGCGAGCAGATAAATTGTGTTTGCATAAAATTAATTTAATAATATTTATATAAGTTTTATATAAGTTTCTGATTTGTTGATTAACGACTCGTGTGATTTATAACACGCTACAAAGTCAAAGAGATTTCGGACAAGTATTTATAGAGTGATTTCAGTTTATTTATAGGCCCTCACCATATAAGGTCGTGAAAAAAAATAAAAAATATATATATTTTTTGCAAATAAATGATTAAAGATTATTCAATGTACATATATGTACGTATACTGAAGACGTCGTCTTATTCATAAATGTACAAATGTGTTATAAATTTTTTAATCAAAGTATATGCCACATATTTCAAAGAAAAATTGAGTTAGCTTGTTGTTATAGGTAACTTGTAGATTTGTAGCCTTGACAAATATTTAAAGTTTCATAAAAACTCATGTCATTTTAAAGAAAAACACTGATTATAGCAACCATTAGACTCTTACTTCTAGATATACCACAGTAAAGCCAATTAGTCCTTAAATTGCCTTTTAGCGAACGTTTTCTGGGCTTCAAGGATAGCAAAAGTTCCAGTGGATGGGGAATTATAATATTATAGCTTTTCTATCAACCCCTAGTGTAGACAGGACCCTGAAACAGTTATATCTTTGTAACGAATTACACCACTTCGTTTATTTTCAAGGTTAGGTCCAACTGTGAAACATATGGATGAAAAAGATACTTACTTAACAGCCTGGCTGGGAATAATATTATTAAAGAGAGGAAAATTGATAATGCTTTTTTATATAATAAATATACGCTCCAATATCTCACCGAAATTTATTGACAAAAGATGATAGTAAACAGACCTACTTCTCTTAGGTATCTTTTAAAATTACTGCAAAGGCGACAAAGCTAGTTGATTTATAATTCTCTTAACATGATATTATAGCAACTATAATATATATGTTAAGCTTTGCGTGGCCACGAGTGTATTAGGTAGAGGGGTAAGGTTCTATCGAGCATACTGTGTGAAAGATTAAAATCCACCGTTATCAAACATGTTTGAACTTTATCAGGGTGGCTTTAGGCTTGGAAAATCAACTACCAAACGAGGTTTCAGACAAGGCGACTCCCCATCGTGCGACTTCTTTAGTCTGCTACTGTAGAAAATATAATACTTCGACCTTCAGAATTAAATAGAGAAGGTACCGTCTTCTATAAGAGTGTACAGTTGCTGGCGTGCGCCGATGATATCGATATCATTGGCCTCAACAACTACGCCGTTAGTTTTGCTTTCTTCAAAATGGATAAAGAAGCGTAGCAAATGGGGCTGGTAGTGCTTGTCACGCTGATCGTTAGTATATGGTTTTTAATAGGTTAAAAAGTAAATTTCTCTAGGATGGATTTTAATAAGAATAAAAAAAATGTTTAATGTAGGTGGTAATATACTCTTTCTACTAACTACAATCTTTCGGGTACTTTTCGAGAACGAAAATCTAAATATAATATATATTTTTAAAAATAACTTAAAGGGTGTTGTGTCTTTTATTATAATATTTCGTATTGTGTGGCGCAAGACATTGGCTTGATTTACTCACGAGAAAATTAAAGATAGATAAATAGTTATTTAAATATTAAAAGTGGTCATGGTCTAAGAAGTACAATATATCAACTAAGGTCTTTGTAAACAAACTCCCTTTTATAATTAAACTTACTAAAATAAATACTCTTTCTGACGTACGGTAGATCCTATCAAAAAATGGTGGACGTTAATCCATACTTTTTTGGGTTCCATTTACCAAAGTTTTCCGTCGTTATTTTTGCCATTATGTGGCATATATCCGTCAATTTGGGGTGTATTCAAATGGAATTATAATGTTGCTTGATTTATTCTTAATTTGTTTAACCATTTCATAATAAACAGACTCTGAAGGAACGTTTTAAAGTTGTGTAAATGTATTACTAGAATAATAATCATTCGGTTTCGCTCCACGTTTGTTCTAGTCACTATTATGCAGCTTCAAAGCAGCCACACAGTTCGCATCGAGGACGCTATTGCTGCTGTGGAGGCAAATATCGAAGACGACCTGAATGGGTCAGTTCGTTCCGCACAATTTGTGCTGTATCCATCTACTTTCTGAAAGATTCTGTGAAAATACCTTGTTTTGCGAGCTTATAAAAAGGTACTCGTAAAATATTTAAATGGACACAAAATTAGGTGGACACCGATCCCGATTAGCTCGAGAAAAATTTTTTCAGCGATAAACACTCACTTCACGTTTTAAGCAAAATTGTTTCATTCGGAGTGTTGATTCCTCAGAAGTCATTGTTGAGACGCCTTTACATTCTAAAAAATAGAATTCAAGAATTCAGAGAAATCATTAGTCCATATTTCTCCAGGCATGAAGTCGGTCACAATGTTTAACGCAGGAGAGCCATGATTAATTACTTTTTCGTGCCTGAATTGGACGATGAAATAACCAATTTATTGAAGGAAATTTTTGGTCAGCGCGTTATTTTGCCCAGTGAGCCTGTAACGTAGCCGCCAAGATCGTGCTATTTAACACCACTTTTTTGTGAAGTTATGTGAGGGCGCTTGTCTCGCAAATAAATTCAAAACGATTGACGCCGTAGAAGGGAATCGTCGGCGCGTTTTGCTGACATACGGTTTAAATTGCTGCAAAAAGTGGTGGAATATTGCGGCTCTCAGCTGGAAATTATTCAAGCCCCGGCTGATCACTTAATTGAAATAATTTTTAAAACATAGAAGCAAACACCTAACCTTACAGTTATAAAAAGTATATTCTTGGTCACAACATGTGTAGACATGTCTAAAAAATAAAATTTACGTTACTTTAATTATAATTGATAAGAGAGGTTTGAAGATAAAAATAAAGGACGCAGCCCTATTAAACACCGCACTAATATTGGGAGATCTTGATTTGGTATACCATTACTTCCGATGCCACCCAAAACAGGCCACAAACTTGGCACGAATTCACTGCCTAAGTATTTTTAACCGATTTAACTGAAGCAAAAGGTAATCAGAGTTTGGCCAGAACCAGCATCTTTGATACAGGAAACAAGAGAGCCAAAAGTAAAGTTGATACTCTCTCGGAACATTTTCTTCAAGATATTTTTTTAATGTGTTTTCGACAATGGTATGTAATGGGCTGTAATGGTAAACTAGCAGACTTGTTTTCTCATATTACTAGTAATTCTTAACCTCGACTTTTAAAGACCAAAACATCAGCTGTTGAATGTTTGTAGCTCAATACTCACCCCTTCATTACTAAGCATTCTAAATGAAAGTAAACATTTCTTATATTTTCATAGTTTTATTTCCAATGGATTTTATTATAATGTATTAAATATTAAATTAAGTTAAATTGTTGTTAAATATTGTTACGTGTGTATGTATGGATTTGTAATGTATATTTGCACAATGTGTATGTGGGTGTATGTACTAGTACAATACAGATTACACTCAAAAAGTAAACTAACAAGTTGTCAGTAGTTTATCACAGTCGAAAATTTTACTTAACGCTTACATATGTATTTATTTCGAAATTTATTAATGCAAGGATAATGTTTATATTTTTCACTTTTCAATTTGCTGTTAAATGTTTGCATGATCTACGAGCTTAACTAGCTTTACACTTATAACTTACTACATGTAAGTCGATTAGTAATTAATTTTTGTAAATTTCATATGCTCAAAATTATAACAGTTTAATAATAGATCTGAGTAAATTTAAATAATTTTTACTGAATTTTTTTTATATATTTTTCAGTTGAATTATATTTGCACAATGTCCCAGATGTTAGAAGTGGAGGAAAAGTCTGCAAAAAGAAAGAAACAGAATGGAAAAACTAAATTATAAAATTATTTTTTATTTTTTTTTTTTATTTTTTAGAATATTTTATACCTTTTTATAATGAACTGTTAACATTTACCTTGCTGTTAGCAAATCTCAAGAGTCATGATGCTAAGATTCCGAATTTTACGGCGCTTAAACAGGCGATACAAAACCAGCGAGTTGTTGGCTGCCGAAGGAGAATACATAAATATATATACAGTTTTAGTCAAGATGGCAAAAAAAAAATTCTGGTTCACCTTGAACCCCAATACCCACCTTTTATATGCCGCCTTGTATGGCGAATCATGCGGTTGCGAACGTGGTGAATCCGTTGAGCTGCAACTGCTCGAACCGCTCGAGCTCTCGTCGCGTGGCGAGTACTCGCCGAAACGCGTCGAATAGTTCATGGCATAACCATGCATGCCATTAGCTGAACCGTACGCTGAACCCGCAATCATGCCTACACCATTGCCACCGGCATTGCCATTACTGCGACAAGTAGCGATCGTAGGGATTTGCGAAGCGGTAAGCAAAAGGTTCGCTGCCACGCTCTGCAGTTTCATATTCGGCGGAGTTTGGGGTGGAGTATCGGGTTGGGCTTCGGGAAACCCCATCCCCCGCTGAGCCGCTCCGTACGGATGATGTGGTGCGCTGGTGTTGTTGTTGTTGTTGTGGCTCGGGCGCATGTGTGTTGGCGCTGGATGCGACGCTGCCGCTGCTGCCGCCGACTGAGCCGTAGTATTTGCCGTGATACGCGTGCTGATAGGGATGATATTGGTACCGTTGTTGTTGTTGTTGTTGCTGCTGCCGTTGATAATGTTGCTGCTGTTGTGTGGCAGATTGGAGTTGTTGTTGTTGCTGTTGCTGCTGCCGTTGTTGTATGGGGTATTGTTCGTAGTATGTAGCTGCTGCATTGTAGCCCCTAGAAAACCCCCGTAAGCTGTGGTAGGCGGCGCCCGCGAGAAGGCTGTGCCGGCGCCGTAATTGCTCATCATCATATGTGTTGCCGGTGGTGGTGGTGCCCCCAGCGCTGACGGCTGTTGCATCTGTTGTTGATGCGGAGGTGGCGGCGGCGGCAGCTGCTGCTGCTGCTGCTGCTGTGACAATCCCATATGGTTGCCCACTCCGCTGCTGTTCATGTGTGCCTGCTGCATTGGATGTTGAAGCTGTTGTTGGTGCTGATGCTGCTGCTGCTGCGTCTGGCCCATATATGCTGCCGCTTGTGCTGGCGGTGGTGTCTTGCAGGCGACTGTGTCGGCCAAACTCCAGATTTTGGGCTTGCTTGCTGGAATCGGCACGCCACAGTCCCGGCTCAGCTGGTTTTTTGGATCACTACCATCATGTTTGTTTATGTTATTGTTATTATTGCTGGTGGGCATGCCACCGGTCGGATAGCCGCTAGCTGCCAGTAGTGCCTGCTGGTGCTGATAGTAAGCGGGATGTTGGTGATGGTAGGGATGGTAGTTATGTGGATGATTTGATGTGCCATCGGAACCATGGTAGACACCGCTCGGAGCACTACCAACGCTGGCACCCGCAAAACCGATGCCTTGATTACGAAGTTCATTCGTGTGTGATCCTAAGGATTTTGACTCATCATCCTGCAGTTCTTCGTCGTCTTTTTCAAGCTCTAAGGGAGTTACAAATAAGGTAAAGTACAATTGAGCTTTCCAAAAGCTTATGGTTCAAACAATTAATTGCTTAAAGTGTTTACTGAAACTTCGCAGAAGCCTGTGTTAATAATAAATAAAATATTTACTTTATTTATCTTTATAATCGCCTACCTTTTCGCTGCCCCCCACCAATACTGCCACTATGCATGCCATGTGACATCTTCTCACTTTCCAATTCGTCCTTCTCCTTCTCTTCATCGGAAACCATCGCTTCGTCATCGTCGTCTGTGCGATTCTTTGGCTCCCAAGTCATCTTATTTTCCTTCTTAAGACGTCGTCGGGCGTTCGCAAACCATGTGGAGACCTGTGTCAGCGTCATCTTTGTAATGATGGCCAACATAATCTTCTCACCTTTGGTTGGGTAGGGATTCTTTTTGTGTTCATTGAGCCAAGCTTTTAGTGTGGCTGTTGACTCGCGTGTTGCATTTTTACGACGTGCAGCCAAATCATAGCTGGGACCATAACTAAAATACAATGAATATGTACATACAGATCAATAAAATTTTGAAATAGAAATGACTAATTTTATAAAAAAATAGTAAAACAAGAAAAAATATTGACATTGGTTACAGCGAAGCTACACTACCCTTCTCATAAATAATAGATTCCTAATAAGTACTTGACTCGGATCATTCAGTTTAAATGACAGCTATATTCTAAAGTGATTTGATCTGATTGAGTTCTTCGATGAAATGCAGCCTTAGGCACTGTTCCTTGCCTAATTTCGTGCAGATGTCTTTTCAAAAGAAAAAGTTTTTCCTACGAGCCCTTAATGCTGATCGTTTAGTTTGAGAGTTCAGCAAGCTATTAGGTTGTCAAAAAAGTCTTGCATATTTTCGCTAGTTGGCGCTGAGAGCGCGTAGTTCTAGTCTTATTCGTCGCATCGGATCATGCTATACCTTTTTGGAAAGCTAATTTCACGCGCTAATACGTGTTGATCGCAAGACGTTTTTGACAGCCTAATATATACTATAGCCGAAACTGATATTAGCCATCTCAACAAATTTGTGACAGGCTCAAGCTCAGGCTCAATCAACAAAGATCTGTAAGGATCTTATCATTCTGTTTTTAAGAGTTTATATGTTATACAACGGAACGGCGTTCTGAGCTGTTCAAGTCAGATCCTTCTTGAAACGACCTTCCAAACTAGCCTACATACTACAGCGATCCGATCTATACAATTTCTTCGCAGATTGCACCATTACCTTTGACACTAGTCCAAGTCAAACTTATTGGAGATATAGTGAAAAATTAAAAAAAAATCGATGCAGACTCCGGAGTCCGATTGATAAGCTACAATGGTGCGATATTGGTGGTTCCGGCAAATGGGAAGCTTCTTGGAAAGAAAAGGACTTACTTTCCCAAACAACGAAGTAACAAAGTGATAAATAGTAACAAAATCCTCGAGTAGCTTGCCTTTTTAAAGATTCTCGGATAGTAAAAACTATCCTACGACGACCTATTATTATTGCTAACTGATAATGGGATTCGCTGTCAAGGTTACGCGAATGACATTATTATTATAGCTAGAGGCTAATTCGAGAACACTCACTGCGACTTAATACAAAGAGGTTTAAACCTAGCCAAAGGGTGGTGTATGAAGTAAAGTTGAATATCAACCCCTCTAAGACGACCACCGTCCCGTTCACGAGACTTAGGTCTGATGGCCTGCTGTGGACGCAACATGTTGACCTGACCTTGGTCAAAACGACTAAAGAACTAATGGTGAGCAATCAGCTGGCTGGAATATCCTGGGAGGTTGAGCCTCAAAAGCAGACTTCGGTAGAGTTCCGACTATCGAAGCTGCAACGACTCGCATGTACCTGCATGTCGGGTGCAATCCGCGCATGTCCGACGGCAGCAATTCAAGTCATGTTTCAGCTCACACCACTTCATATAGTGACTGACCACGTAGCCAAGCACACACTGCTACAAATGACAGCAAAAGCGTGTGGCAGAGGTAAGGTAATCTCATCCCAGAGAATGAAAGAGTTAAGTGGTACAATACCCTTGGCCCTTCTCCCAAGGGACAGCATTAACAAAAGTGCTAAGCTCAGACTACTCTGGTCGCAAACTGAAGAAGGACTTACACAACATGAGCCTAACTTCTTGCGTAAATTACCGGTTCTACGACATGGAGCACAGAAGTCTGCAGATGCAGGTTAAAGGCCCTCGGATCCATGTTTCCAGATAGTGATCATATCGTCTCGCTAGCACTTAGTAGTATATTGGACTTTATCAATATGCTGGGGTTAGGCGAGTATTTGCACATAATACGGATATAATTAAAGTCGAATACCTGATAGAAATGAAGAAGATGTGAGATCCGTGAAACCTTTCACAACTAGTTTCTGAATTCAGATTATTTTTACACTTACGAAGAACTAAATTCAGTGAAATAGAGATCAATGCAATGCTGTAGTATATTTTTTGAAAGCTTTTATATCTGTCAATATTGAGGCGTTATTATTATAACTAATAATATTAATACTTTCCACAAAAGTATATTTAATGTTCATAATAAACATTTTCCTGCTTTCCTTCACATTATCTAATTAAAGTTTCGCACCAACGCTTGGCTAATTAATTTTCCTCGCTGCACTAAAATCGCGAGCGAAAAAAACGGCTTTCGCTTACACAGTGAAATTACGAACTTATGTCTGCAAAGTGCGAAAAAATACCCTGCGGCCAAAAAAGGAAAAACTCCACTATCGATGTAAAGGGAAAACGATTTAAACCGAGGAAACCGAGAGAACTTGTAGATGTTGCAATGGCGCAGTAAAGCGCCAACATATCCTTTAATCCGCGCGCAGTAAACGCAACAGTAGTGGAGAGAGGGAGTTACAAGAAAACACACACTTACAAGCGCGTTGAGGCGTCCTTTAGCACGCTGCGCACGCACCAAACGCTGCGTCACGCGGCAATATCAACGACAGCGGCAAAGCCCAGCATTCAACGCCACAGCAACAGAAAACTAAAAAAAAAAAATCAAGGAAAATAGAGTGTAGTTCAACATGTTGAAGACTACACACAGTGCTTTACTCAGCACCGCACTGTTGCAGCATGCCGCATATTCAGCGCTTTTCGCAATGGATTATCGGTGCGTACCGAGTGTGGCAAGACTTTGATAGGGTAGCGCGTATTGTTGCATATTTTGTATGCATGCGGCACCTTGTAACGTGCAGCGCTATGGCATGCGCGCCATGCAACGTGCCATCATGCCACAATAGCACGTTGGCTAACGTGATTTTTTCTATCTTTCAGTGTGCGCGGCTTTCACTGCCTTAGCAAGCATATACTTTTATATCTTTGTTGTGTTTTTTTGTTTTTATTTTTGTGGGATTTTTATGGTGCCGCAAGAATCAACAGCTTGTGCGGTGAATTTTACAACCAACTACTCGCAAGTACCACTTCAGACGCAGCTCGTGCAACTGTTTTGCGTCCAACGGTTAGCCGCTTCATAGCCACTGGCCGGCAGCCAAGGCTGCTGCGAGCCGTGTGCCATGTATTTACGTCGGCGGATGCACCATTTTTTCGCCACCGCTCGCATACTTTCTTTTTTATGAGACGGCGTGCGGTTTTTTCTTTGCTTTTATTGTTGTAAAAAAGCTTTGATTTTTATATTTGCTGTTGGCGTTTGCTTGCACTGTCTGCCTCTTGGTAAATCCCGTTGAGGGTTCGTTCGGTGAGTGCTACTCAATGCCACTTTTAGTTACTGCTGATGTTGTTGTTGCACTCGACTTATGAAGCCTCGGTCTCTATGCATTTTTTCGCTTCGCATTTTCTTTTTTACTATTTCGCAATAATGGTTTTCACATTTTTACACTTTTTTCCTCGTGTTAAGTATTTTTACGGCAGGATATTGGTCAAATGCATACAGCTGTGAAAGTTTTACATTTAGTAAGTTTAGTTTATTTGCTGATTTCGTTAAAGCAACATTTCCCGCTCCTGATTTTACTTGCATACTAGCCATGAACTTATGTACTCGCTTTGCTTTTGTTTTGGTGTAATACTTTTATTACATTTACGGCATTTTATTTTTGGCGTTACTTCATTACTGTATACTCTTTAATGTCTTACGTCAATTTTCCAAAGTTTCCCTTGCTTATTAGCTTAGTGCGCTTCCGTCAAAACGATGAAAATGGATTTACTTTAAACATATGTCAAAGAGCACTTCAAAGATTTTTATAATTAAATATTGAGATTATATAAGAAATTCCTGAAGCCATTACACAATTTTCAACCATTTCATATTTATGAAAATCATATCCATCTAAAGGCGAATGGAGCTGAATGTATCCATCCAAACTTTCACGGTAGGTGGCGCAACTGTCGTAATGTACATATGCATTGTAACAAAAAACTATCCTTAACTACTATAATGATGCGTTGCGATTTTTATAATGAATTCAAATATCGAACAAAGAATTTGTCTAAAATTTTGTATTTCTAACCAAATTTCGTTTTGGAGCCAGTGCGAATGTAGGAAAAAGCAAACGGTGATCCAGTTTTATTGAAAACGGTCGAGATATCGTTGACGACATGCCTCGCTCTAGACGACCTTCGACCACTTCAACTGATGAAAATATTGAAAAAGTGAGTGATATGGCGCTTGAAAATCGTCAGACAAGTACCAGTGAGACGACAAGTAAGCTCGACATCTCTCTCGAATCCGTTCGAATGGTTCTGGTGGACATTTTTGGCATAAAACATGTTTTTGCTCGACTCGTCCTGATAAAGCTGAATTGTGGGAACAATTCTCCAACCTCCTGAATGGGAGTCGGAGATGGTAAACCCGATTCCCAAATCGATGACGATGGTGCGGACGTTCCATTGCCCCACCATGAAGAAGTTCGAATTGCAATTGCCGGCGGACCTATTCAAATGCTACGGCAAAGAACTGGAAAGGAGCATGCATCAGCTTGCACGACGATTGGAATTTAAGTGCGCTCGGAACAATCCACAAAAATGGAGCCAACAACCGCATTTAAGATTCTATCGAGCTTACTGTGTGAAAGATTAAAGCGCACCGTCAACAAACTGATTGGACCTTATCAGCTTGGCTTTAGGCCTAGGAAATTTACAACTGACCAGATAGTCACCATGCGCCAAGTCTTCGAACAAAACACGGGAAAAGAGGTTCGACACTTTGTTTGAATTTGGTATCCCCGCAAAACTAATACGGTTGTGTAAACTGACGTTAAGCAATACCAAAAGCTCCATCAGAATCGAGAAACACTTCTCCGAGCTGTTCGATTACAAACGAGATTTCAGACAAGGCGACTGCCTATCGTACGTCTTCTTCAATCTACTCCTCGAGAAAATAATTCGAGCTGCAGAACTAAATAGGGAGGTACTATCTTCTATAAAAGTGTACAAATACTAGCTCACGCCGATAACATCGATATCATTGGCCTCAGCAACCACGCCACCACGTTAGTACTGCTTTCTGCAGAATGGATAA